GGTTGTGGAGAAAAGGGAACACTTCTACACTGCTGGTGGGAATGCAAACTAATACGTCCCTTTTGGAAAGTCATATGGAGAACACTTAGAGAACTGAATATAGATCTGCCATTTGGTTCTATAATTCCTCTGCTAGGTATATATCGAGAAGAGCAAAAATCACACTACAATACAGATATCTGTACCAGAATGTTCACTGCAGCCCTATTCACAATTGCTAGGTCCTGGAAGAAGCCCAAGTGCCCATCGACCCATGAATGGATCAATAAATTGTGGCATATGTACACCATGGAATACTATGCAGTCATAAAGAAAGATGGAGACATTACCTCCTTCATGTTTATATGGATGGAGCTGGAAAATATTCTTCTTAGCAAAGTATCTCAAGAATAGAAGAAAAAGTATCCAGTGTACTCAGCCCTATTATGAAACTAATTGTTAACTATCATAGGAAAGCTATAATCCAATTATAGTCCAAGAATACGGGGAAAGGGGAGAGGGAGGGGAGGGGGGATAGGTAAAGGGAGGGTGATTGCTGGGACCATGCCTATGATTTATCCTATAAGGGTACATGTGAATCTTTCTAAATGTCGAATATAAATGTCTTAATACAATTATGAGAACGACATGATGGCTATGTTGGCCAATTGGATGAAAGTATTTCAAATTGTATATGGAAACAACACACTGTATCCCATGATAATATTAATGTGCGCAAATATGATTTAATAAAAAAAACACAACAACAACAACAACAAAATTTACTAATCATTATGTGAGTAAAACATTGTGATAAGTGCTGACTATACAGAAATCAATAAAATATAAGCAGTTACTGTTTTCCTGATAGGTATGAGGTATAAAGTTACTACTGTTCATTCAGTGTTTAGAATCTAGTAGGGCAACTAAGTCATAGACAAAAAAATAACTAACACAGGTAAGGGCATTATAGTTGTTATTGGACAGGCCTAAATAAAGTTTTGTAGGGGGTTTGAGAAGAAAGAAGTGATTTCCAGCCAAGAGGATTGAATAAGAATTCTTCTTCTTCTTTTTTTTATTAAATCATAGCTGTGTACATTAATGCAATTATGGGGTACAATGTGCCGGTTTTATATAAAATTTGAAATACTTTCATCAAACTGGTTAACATAGCCTTCACTACATTTTCTTAGTTATTGTATTAAGACATTTATATTCTACACTTAGTAGATTTAACATGTACCCTTGTAAAATGCACCATAGGTGTGGTCCCACCATTACTCCTCCCCCTCCTCTTTTCCCTTCATCTTGGGCTGCAGTTGGGTTATAGCGTTCATATGGAAGTGTGAGTACTTATAAATTAGTTTCATAGTAGGGCTGTGTACAATGGATACTTTTTCTTCCATTCTTGAGATACTTTGCTAAGAAGAGTATGTTCTAGCTCCATCCATGTAAACATGAAAGAGGTAAAGTCTCCATCTTTTTTTCAGGCTGCATGATATTCCATGGTGTACATATACCATGATCTGTTAATCCATTCATGGGTCGATGGGCACCTGGGCTTCTTCCATGACCTAATAATTATGAATTGGGCTGCAGTAAACATTTTGGTATAAATATTTTGTTATAAAGTGATTTTTGGTCTTCTGGATATATACATAGTAGAAGAATTACAGGATCGAATGGCAGGTCTATTTTTAGACCCCTAAGTGATCTCCAAACATCTTTCCAAAAGGAACATATTAGTTTGCATTCCCACCAGCAGTGCAGAAGGGTTCCCTTTTCTCCACATCCATGCCAACATCTGTAGTTTTGGGATTTTGTGAAAATGTAGGGAAAACACTTGAAGAAATCCGCCTGGGAGAATATTTTATGAGGAGGACTCCCTGGGTGATTGAAGCAACATCAAAAATAAATTAATGGGATCTGATCAAACTAAAAAGCTTCTGCACAGCCAAGAAAACAGTAAAGCAAGCAGACACACTCAGAATGGGAGAAAATATTTGCAGGCTATGTCTCTGACAAAGGTTTAATAACCAGAATCCACAGAGAACTCAAATGTATTAGCAAGAAAGGAACAAGTGATCCCATCTCAGTGTGGGTAAGGGACTTGAAGAGAAACTTCTCTAAGAAGATAGGTGCACGGCCTACAGACACATGAAAAAATGCTCATCAGAGAAATGCAAATCAAAACCACTTTGAGATATCATCTAACTGCAGTAAGATTAGCTCACATCACAAAATCCCTAAACCATAGATGTTGAATAAGACTTCTTATAAGAGGTGACATTGGAATAGGCCTTATAGGGATGTTGAATTTGACAAATGAATATGCAAATGGGGAAGGACGTCTGGCATGAGGAAGCATCATGGCAAAGTCAGCAAGACAGAAAAATATGAGATATCTTGTTAAGAGGAGAGGTCAATCCTGTGAGTATCACTCCAGCAGAGGTGCGGAACCTTCATCCTAAAGGCAAAATGCTGCCTTCTAGGTCCTCAAGTGCGGCCATTTGACTGAATCCATTTTACACAACAAATCCTTCCATTAAAAGGGATACAGCAGAGAAAGCTGAAGCTTTTGTTACCTCATGGTGCTTAAAAAAGAGCAATCTTGAAATCAGAAGGCTGCAGGCTGCCCACCACTGGGTGGGGTAAGCATGGCTGGAAAGGTAGGCTAATGACTGATATTGAAAGGCCTGGACAGAAAGGCTAAGGCATTTGGAATAAATTGAGTTTCTATTTTAGGAAAATCACTTTGGAAGTCGTGGTATGGAGTGTGTCTATTGGCAGAGAGACCAGTTAGAAACTTTTCTTTTTAATAGGGAAAATGCAGATGAACAATGTGCCTTAGGCCAAACTCTGACCACTGAATCGCACCACTTTAATACACAATTAACATGAAATGGTATGGCTTTTTGTTTGTTTGTTTGCTTTGAGACAGAGTCTTACTCTGTTGCCTGGAAGTGCCAAGGCCTCAGCCTAGCTAACATCTCCAAACTCTTGGGCTCAATCTTCCTGCCTCAGTCTCCCGAGTAGCTGGGACTAATGGTGCATGCCACCACCCCTGGCTGATTTTTTCTGTTTTTAGTAGAGACGGGTCTTGCTCTTGTTTAGGCTGTCCTTACCTCAAACAAACCTCCTGCCTCAGGCCTCTCAGAGTGGTAGGATTTCAGATGTGAGCCACTGCACCCGACTGATATAATTATTTTCTAATGTGGGAATGAACTCTAGTGTCCAATAAAGCAATATGTTTTAACAGAACTTCTCTACACTGCTTCTTTTCGGATACATACAATGGCAGCAGCAGTGAAAAGAGGAGATCTAGATTCTATTTTCAATTCTACTTTGTAACGTTAGTCAAGTCATCTAACTCTTCTGGCCTTCAATTTCCTTTGTTTTAAAGGCAAATGGTAATATTTAATAAAATGATATTTTATAGGGTTGAGTAAAGAACAAATAAAATCATATACATGAAATTATTTTTATAAAAAGGTATAAGTGCTGTATTCAAACTATCATTAATATTCTAGGCATCCAAGAATTCCAGTTTTCAGTTTTTATATACATACACTAAGTCAGCATGTATATAAATCTGGCTAGAGTTAGCTGTAAATCTAAGATTAATTGAATATTTACCAGTGTTAACAACAGTGGTTGATAGTTGTTAACAATGCTCCTGGTTTCTGCAAGAAAGAGCCCTTGGAAGCGCTGGTGCTGACTTCTATTTTTTTTTTTTTTTTTTTACAAGTAGGTCTAAGTAATCCCAGGAATAAGATCCATCACAAGGAAAAGAAAGGGGCAGGAACTCAGGAAGGGTATTAGTGTGGAATTGTTATGAAATCCCAGAGGAGGTAACAACAAATTCTTCCTGAGGGTGCTAGTGAAAGTTACAAATAGAAGGTGACATTTGAACTGGCTTTGGAGGATAAATGTCCTGGGGAGGAAGAGCTTCCAGGCAGAGGAACGGCATGGCAAACCCCTAGAGGCTGAAAAGGACAGGCTTAGCAAGAAGTGGCAGATTGGGAAAGGAATTTTGAAGGTGCTTTGTGTTGCAATGTGGTGACTTAAAAATAACCCTTTTTCTTCTTTGCTTTTGCAGTTACTTGGATTTTTGTTGATTTGGGAAGGGATTCGACTATACCTGCACTGGTGTCACAAGGTAGGACATCTGACTCCTGCTGCTAGACCTTAGACAGGATTGACCGTGCTCTGGATACTCAGTGGGTAGTACAGAGCTACCCTTTCTCTCATCCTTCCCCCTGAAGAGATCAGCTAACACCATTTTAACTGGAATGATGAATTAGGTAACAGTTGTAACTGATTTATGAAAGGAACTGAACCCAAGCTTTGTTCTTTCCCACTGCTTCACGTTAATCTCACCCTGTGACCTCACCTTCCTGCCCCAGCAACATCTTAGGCAAATTCCATTACTTTCTTAGTCCTTTGTAGTCACACCGACATTCTCATTTCAGTCATTTAAAATTTCAGTTTACTGTAATAACCCAAACTCTCAACTTTTATTAACCTTAAAACTTTCCCCTCCCCTATGTTGGCCTGATCTGAGCCTGGAAGCTGGTCCTGGAGGTGGGCCTTTTACTTCTCCTCCACCCGAGTGGGTCCCAGGGAAAGAGGAGATAGGTGATAAGAGCACAGTTCCATGAGGAGGGGCCAGAGGAGAGTTGGGGGGGGTGGGTGGGATTCCATCTGGACCAGGTAGATGCACAATTGGCTGTCCGCACAATGGTAAGGTGACCAGATTTTAACATTGGTAAAGCAGAACACCATTGAGGGGGGTGGGGGGCTATTGGCTGAGCTGTTTATGGTTAGGGACCCTATAGAGAGGAGGGGGGGCTACTTGTTTGTTCCAGACAGTTTGGCTTCTTCTGAACTAATTGTCCTTACCTAGAAGCGAGGGAGGGAGCCAGTATCCTTCTGATACCAATTCCCCCTGGGTGACCTTGCCCAGGAAGGGAGTTTACATATTAGCCTTTTCATTTCCAATGAAGTTACATTAACCTCTTCATTCCCAAGTGGAGTTACATTAACCTTTTCAGCAGCCGAAAACTGTGTATTCCCTTCCCATTCTCCTGCCCTTCCCTAGCTTGTCGTGCATTCTTTCCAAAAATCGGGAAAACACCATGGGATGCGGGACAAATTGTTCAAAAGCGGGACGTCTGGTCACCTTACACAATGGGCTTTTCCAGGTGTATTTACAGAGCCTCTTCTGCTGAGAACCTTAACTATAGCTCTCCTGGTAGAGTCAATGCTTGTGCACCAAAAGCTCCCTGAAATTTCTCTTTTGAAGTCCTTTTGCCCCTCTCTTGGTTTGGATACCTTTAAAATGACACCATCATGGTTTCTCTGAAAGGGTCCATGGCTGGTCTCTAGAGGAAAGGCAGCTTTGCCCCTCCATCTGCGGATATGTAGCATGTTTCCAGTGTAGCCTCCCTTGTTTTTGTTCCGCCATGGGCTTGAGAAGCTCTTTCTTCCGGTGACAGCTGCTTTCTTGCTTGTGTATAGACATTTTCAGACATTTTTTACTGACACATAATGTACATATTTATGGGGCACACATGATATTTTGATACATGCATACAACATGTAATGATTAAATCAATTGATTTAGGTTATCCGTCACCTCAAATATTTAGCATTTCTTTATGTTAGGAACGTTTCAATTCTTCTCTTTTAGCTAGTTTGAAATATACATAGTGTAACTTTATGGACACCCTATATAATAAAATATTGTTAGCTATAGTCAGCTCGCCGTGCTTTCAAATACTAGAACTTTTCCCTTCTAACTGTATGTTTGTACCCATTAACCAACACCTCTTCATCCCACGCTCTGCACACCTACTCTTTCTAGTCTCTGGTAACCGTCATTCTATTCTCTACCTCCACGAGATCAACTTTTTTTTTATCGCCCATATGAGTAAGAATATCAAGCTTGGTTTTGATACCATGCCTTATATTTCTCCAAATCCAGGAACATGTCAAACTCCAAATGGAATCTTTAAATCTCCTTGTACTCAAATGAAAAGTCTGAACTAGAAATAAAAATTTAAGTGTTTAATAACTCTTAAATTAGAAGGGGAAATCAAGGCTGTGAGATCTTCTAGGGAAAGAATGTAGATTGAAAGTGAGCAAATAAGTTGAGACACTATGATCAGCTAATTACTGCCAGGAATCCTCACGAGTTAAACCACTCTGATTACCATTTCAGGCTTGTGCCTATCATGAGAACTATGCTTCCATTGCCTGTGCCAGTCATGGACTGCTGTGTGGCCTCTGCCGCAGCAGCGTCATGTTATCCCCTTTGAAATCAAATAGACTGTGTCAGTGGCAGTATCTCTCACCTTTATTTAGGTGTATAGGACAGTTACTACGTTGCTTTTAAGGATACTATTACTTTGTTCAACAGTGTATTATTTTAATGTCCTCTGAGACCTCCTAAAAAATGTGATACGAGGTGAGTTAGCTGATCATCAGCCCAGCACCTTTTCTCAATAAACCTTCAGATTATTTCTTTTATATTACACCAAGAAATTACTATATTCTAATTTCACTGCGTGTAGACTACTGTTGAAACAAGATTTCAGTTAACAAAACAAACAATTAGACCCTCTTTGAGCTGCTTAGTAACTGGATTCTGGTATATTAAATGCAGATTATCTGATAAGCTTACCCATATCACTAAATTGAGCATGATCTAAAATTATGTGTTATTTTCCTTATCTGGCATCCTTAGAAATTCATTCCCATACATATGCTACACAATTTTTGCCAATATTAGTTACCAAAATCTTCTTCTCTAAGCCTTTATCTTCTAAGACATTGAGGTCTAATTCTCTATAAGTCTGTAGACAATGAGAAGTGATGCGGGGGGATTCTGAGACAAGTTGGCATTCCCTTGGAAGGTAACTAACTCCCTTGGTCTTTAGGCTTTCAAATCAGAAAGGACCAGGTTTGTCAGACGTGGGAGGAGAGCTTACTTTTATTGGGAGCGGAGATTCTTGGGGCTTGGAGTTCCATTTTTATTGTACTCAGAATAAATCCAGAAAGAAAAGGGTTTGCACCAGGCTAGTAATCCCTTCCGCTTCTGCCTAGGGATGCCCACAGAGAAAGGAGCAGATTCAGTCAAAACTCCCTATAAACATGTTAATAACTTAACCTCCTGGCAAACACATTAGAAGTATTTTTTGGCCAAAAGATTATGGAGACTCCTTATCTCCAATGTCTAGCAGAATATACCTGATGTGTCTAGGTTGCTTTTATTATAAATAAGCCTGGAATTTATAGGTTAGTGTGGTCAGAGACATGGTTGGCTAAAGTTACATAATTAATGGAGCATAAGATAGTGATGCACCAAAACTAAAATGATACTTTCTATGAAGCAGCTTTTCTTCAGACAATTAATTTGTAAATTCATCCTAGAAAAAATGCTACATGACTCATTGCTAAATGTCATATAGTCACCTTTGAAGTACTCCCCTTGGGAAGCTCTGCACCTACACTAGTGTCTAGCCCACCCTCAAAGCAATTTTGGAACTTTTTTGGAAAGGCCATTAGAGTTGTCATTGTATAAGGTATGACAATTCCTTACTGAGTTAGTGAACTCATCCTAGAAAAAGTGCTTTGAAGGGTGGACTAGGCACTGGCATGGTACATAGCTTCCCAACAGTAATACTTTGAAGGTGACTGTAGCGATATTCAGCAATGAGGTATGTAGCACTTTTTCTGGGATGAATTTGTGAACTTAATTATCCAACCTTGAACTTTGCTCAAAACACACCTGGCATGTTAAGTCCCAAACCAAATATATATAATATATGGGAAAAGAAAGACGTTATATGGGTAGTTACATTTGATATGATGAGATTTTTGCAAGGGAAAATGTTTTACCTGTACCTTCTAATTACCTGTATCCTTTAAAGCATTCGTAAAGTTTATTGTTAGAGAAGATCTGTGATTCAAATGAGTCTGATGTAATAATTCAAACTTTATCATTATATGTTTAATATGCTAATTGGCTGTTTAAGATTTTTGCATCTATGTACATAAGAAAGATTGGACTATAGTTTTCTGTCCAAATGTCCTCATTGAATTTGGGTATCATTGTTTTGTTGGTTTCATATAATCTGTTAGAAGTATTTTTTACCCATCCTCTGGATAGGAAACATTTTGAGATTGGAAACACTTCTTCCTTCCATGTTTGGTAGAATTTATTCTGTGAGCTACCAAGGTGTTATTTATTTATTTATTTTTTTTTGAGACAGAGCCTCAAGCTATCCCCCTGGGTAGAGTGCCGTGGCCTCACAGCTCACAGCAACCTCCCACTCCTGGGCTCAAGCGAGTCTCCTGCCTCAGCCTCCCAAGTAGCTGGGACCACAGGCGCCTGCCACAATGCCCGGCCATTTTTTGGTTGCAGCCGTCATTGTTGTTTGGCGGGCCCGGGCTGTATTCAAACCTGCCAGCTCAGGTGTACGTGGCTGGCACCTTAGCCACTTGAGCCACAGGCGCCGAGCCCAAGGTGTTATTTTGTAAGAGAATTCATTATGGACTCAGTTACTTTCAGTATAGAGATTATGGAAAGGCAGAAGCTAAGCACTGCCTAGAGGGCAGCACAGATGTGGAAAAACTATACATTTGAAAGGATGAAAGTTAAGAGTGTTACATCTCCATCTCCTTGTTCTCAATGTTCTTTCTTTCTTTCTCTATGATGTATATAGTGTTCCAGCAAGCAGATTTTTTCATCTGTTCAACAAATATTTATTGCATGCTTATTGTGTGCTAGATATTCTGCAAGGCACCAAGGCTATAATTGTAAACAGTACTAATGTATCTTTGACCTTGTAAAGCTTATACTCTGTTGGGAAAAACATACATAGAAAAAGCAATTACAAAATATTGGTCAGGTGCAGCAGCTTATGCCTATAATCCTTTGCACTTTGGGAGGCTGAGGCGGGAGGATCACTTAAGGCCATGAGTTTGAGACCAGCCTGGGCAACATAGCAAGATACCATCTCTACAAAAAATTTAAAAGATTAGTCAAGTATGGTGGCATGTACCTATAGTCCTACTTACTTGGGAGGTAGAGGTAGGAGGATTGCTTGAGCCCAGGAGCATAAGGTTGCAGTGAATTACAATGATGCCAATGCACACTAGCTTGGGCATTGTTACCCCCCAAAAGTAAATGAAACAAGATATTACTTTACTTATAATTATATTGAGTGCATAATTGAGGTATGTGTATAAAGAAGTGGTAAAGATTTGTGTTGGGCATTGTTAAAACTGAGTGATGCCAAGCACTTTTGAGGGTCCAGCTGAGGCTGGAAGTGATAACTTAGTAATGACATCACAGTGCATAGGTATGTAATTTTTTTTTTCTTTTTCTTTTTTTGAGACAGAGTCTCAAGCTGTTGCCCTGGGTAAAGTGCTGTGGTGTCATAGCTCACAGCAACCTCCAACTCCTGGGCTCAAGCAATCCTCTTGCCTCAGTTTTCTATTTTTAGTAGAGACCGGGAGACGGGGTCTTGCTTTTGCTCGGGCTGGTCTCAAACTCCTGAGCTCAAGCAATCCACCCGCCTCCGCCTCCCAGAGTGCTAGGATTATAGGCATGAGCTACTGTGCTCGGCGTCTGTATAATTTTTTTTTCAACTATGCTGAAAGACTTAGGAGCAAAGAATGTGAATGAATGGACTCATCCAATATTGACGATTTGCAGGATGGTTAGATTTAAGAGATGAGGAAAGGCTCGGCGCCTATAGCTCAACCGGCTAAGGCGCCAGCCACGTACACCTAAGGTGGCGGGTTCGAATCCCCAGCCCGGACCTGCCAAACAACAATGACAGCTGCAACCAAAAAACAGCCGGGCGTTGTGGTGGGCGCCTGTGGTCCCAGCTACTTGGGAGGCGGAGGCAGGAGACTCGCTTGAGCCCAGGAGTTGGAGGTTGCTGTGAGCTGTGATGCCACGGCACTCTACCCAGGGGGACAGCTTGAGGTTCTGTCTAAAAAAAAAAAAAAAAGAGATGAGGAAAGAGATAAGTTCCCTGACATTGTAAGGGCACACATACATTTCCTAAGGACAGTTTTGATCGAAGTCTAGTGCCTAGAAGTTAAGAGATCCTTTCTGTTTCTCTAGATCCTGATTCTGCTAGTGATCCTGCTATGCATCTTTTTTATGATCGTTTTAAGAAAATTCTGGAATAATAGGTGGCTGGTAGCTGGCCTGTCACTGCAGGTAAGCATCATCCTGTAGCTCCAGCACTCTCTGTCCAGATGTGTCCAACCTGACTTTGGGCTTTCTCCCAGGTCATTGCTCCCTATGTGCACCTGTGCAGCGTAGCACTGATGGTTATCCTTTCCTGGCCTTTGGCTCTCTACTTGACCCATTTGGAAAGAGAAGGTATGTCATAAGGGCTGGAACCTCACTTGATCCCTTCAGCTCTGGCTTTAGTTTGCATACTCCACTCAGGAAAACAGAAGCTTGGGAGACAGCAGTTCTTATTCTTATGCTTTTTTGGAATTCATATAGCTTGTTACTCAAGGATACTCCTGTCTCCTCATGTACCACCTTATGTGGCTTGTCATAGTATTTCCATGACTGAACAGGCACCCTTCTAAAGGGGTTTCTTCTTCAAGAAAAATAAAACTTTTCCCCATGTTGTTACACATTGACTGTCAGGATAGATGGGAGGCAGTAGAGGCCATTTTAATTTTACTTGACCAGAGTTTTGGTATAAATCCCCGTTCTTTCCATTTTTGTATGCAAGTATTACTAATTTCAATTACTAGCAGGTTCAGAGATCCCTGATAATATCTAGGTAGCTCAAAGCAGTCTCCTGAGTCCATGTCCTACCTAGGGAGGTACAACAGAAGCAAAATTTTTATCTTTGCCTCTGATTTCCTCTCCATTCTTTGCCCTAACATAAAGGAAACAAGACATAACTGAATCTGTGTGCCTGTTTTGGAGAATGGAGTTATCTCTCACCACCCTCACTGAGAAATTACAATAGGACCTTCTTTCTAAGGCTCCTTTTTTACTCTTGGTTAAATAGGGAAAACTTGGAGGAAGATGTAGGCAAGAGAAAAACTGGATTGATAGTGGTGCCTTTGGGTGTTTGTATACGTGTTTTTGTGTGCGTAGAGGGAAAAATTTAGAAAATATTTCTGGGGCAGGAATCTTCAAGGGGACAATAATGAACTCTCTCTCTCTTTTTTTTTTAACTTTCTAAATTTTAGTTAGAATAAGAAGACACAAGATGACACGTTTGGAGAAAAAAAGACTCAAGCGATGTAATATACTCACAAGGTTAAGAGGTTAGAGCTGGAGACCTAGATTTGAAAGATATTGAAGCATAGGTGGTAACTTAAAAATGTACAAATGGGTAAAATCATTAGAGGCATAGAATTGTAAGTGTTGGGGAATGGCTGGTTATAATGGGGATCATGGACAGGCTCTGATGTGAGTGCGCGTGTGCATGAGGAAGAGAAAGAGAGGGTAGCAGGTAACATTGAGTAACTGTCATGATGTCACGCTGTCATAACAATTCTGTGAGGTTGATTTTGGCAGCAAGACAGCCCCATTTTATAGACGAAAATGAAGATCCAGAGAGGTTAAGTAACATGTCCTTAGTCCCAGAATTAGGAAGTGGCAGAGTCTAGCTTTGAACTCAGATTGCTGTCAGTTAGTGCCCCTTCCGCTACACTGCACAGCCCCAAATATTGGGGTGTTTTAGGATGATCTTTGCAGGCTTTGGGGCTTTTTCCAGAACCTGGTCCTCCTGAGCAGCTTCTCCTTGATGCAGTCTCTCTCTTTTCTCTCCTTCCCACCCCTGTACAAGTCATTCCTCTGTCAATTTCCAGTTCCAATGAAGTTCCCTTAATAATAATGCCTCACATTTGGACAAGTTTGTACTTTTGTATCCAAATCACTGATAGTGAGTGGGGGTAGGACAGAAATAGAAAGCAAATTAGCCAGTCTACCCAGTCAGGGAAACCTCTGGATTGGGGATTACTCAGACTGATGCTTTGAAATAGTTACCTGGGATGGTTTCTATCTCTCTTTCCCTGTTTTCCCCCACTTCCCCCTCCATCTGACTTTTTCAGGTATGCAGGTGGCTATTGGATTGCCCTTTCTTCTTATCCTTTTATGTCTCTATTTGATGCCACTGAGAATTTATTCTCCCTGCATTCAGGAGAAGGAAGATTTGGGGCCCAAGCCATTCGTCTTTGGACATAGAGGTGCACCCATGGTGAGCATGATGAACCTGGGTGAGGACAGACATATATGGAGTATGTGAATGAAATGAAGGGAAACTCAGAGCCCCTGGAGAGAAAGTGGATTATTTTGAAATGGCAAGAATAAGGAGTTTATTGTAGAGGTTGGACTTGAACTCAGGTACCTAACTCCCTGTCTATTTCTCTCAGCTATTATGCTCAGTGATGTTTCCTCAGATGAGCAGAGTCCCAGAATCAGGTTGGACAGAGGGGTGTATAACAGTTGGCTCTTTGAAAAGAGAGCCGAGGGAACCAAGCTCTACCTCCCTTTCATTACTGGGCTCCATCCCTACCATAAACACCTTTTGCAAGAAGAGACTCTGAGGCACAGGGCTTGCTGTCCTTTTCTTCTATAGCTGGGGCCTGAGAACACCATGATGTCCTTTGAGAAAGCTGTTGAACATGGAGCCAATGGGCTGGAGACTGATGTATATATAAGGTAAGAAAGCAGGGATTGGGGCATGGGGGAGGAGGGGAAAGGTTCAATGTCATGAAAGAAAACCAGCTTGGCCCAAGGTGTAGAAAGCACATGAAACAAATGTGAACCAAATCTCCCTTACAAACCATACCTACCTCCACATTCTCAGTCAGAGCTCACAAATCAGAAACATGCTATATAGTCTTCACACATAATTCATATATGTCCCCATTGCAAACTAAGGTTACAATTTAACCATGTGTACTGTCTAAGCAATTTATTTAACTAACATTCCTTGAGTATTTACTATATTCCAGGCTTTTTTTTCTGATTGCTAGGAAGATGCAAATGAGTAAGATATAGTCATGCCTAAGAGGCATTCCCAGCTGGGAAGTTGACATACTTACAGATAACCACAGAATAAAACCATTTTTGGTGACAGCCTTCCAGAGAAGACTAAGTCAACCCCAATGGAGGAAAGTTCACCTCTTATTATATGAAAAAAAGAAAAAGATCTATATACTTGAAATTGTATTTGGGTTGAGCCTTGAAGGAAAAATGTCATTTTACCAAGCAGAGGTCAGGAAGGAGAGCATTTCAGGTGAAGGCGTCTGCTTATTGAAAAACATTTAAATTTGAAATTACAAGTTTATAATTGGGGAGCTAACCTATATGGATGACAAAAGTGATATTCTTTGGGGACAGGACAGGGCTACTTGAAGAAGTATAACTAGGAAGATGACTGAGGCTGGATCATGGCTATCCCTAAAGGCGTAATGGCAGCCATGCTAGGTTTTAGAGGATAGATTGCCTTGTTGTTTTAGAAAGATTCATCTGACAGTCTATAAGGAAGAATTACCAGGGAGATGGATAACATAATGTGGCAAACAAAGGACGATCTGGGTTAGAGGAGGGGCAGGAGGAAAATGACATTTTTTGCTGTAGAATCTATGTACGTGGTCAGTCAGGGAGGTGGAGTGGCTTCATCTCTAGCCTGAGCATATTAGTGTATGTGATGTGTACAAAGTCCCCTCACGGTCATTCTGGGAGGCAAACAGAAAGGAAATGAACCATCTCTTTCATAGAGGAGGTACCTGGGTTCAACTAAGGGAAGTGTGTTGCTTAGGTCATAAGGTTAGAATGTGTACAATAAAGTCAGGATTAGAACTAGATTTCATGACCCCAGAGTGAGATTCTTGACATAAGCCAAAATGATAGGCGTTTCATGGAGAAGATTTGAAACAGGATTGAAACTGGTTGTTCTAGCAGAGCTCCTGGGGGTATTCATTAGTGCGCCAGGTGGTCATGGGTGTGCTGGGGTAAAGGTGCTGAGCTGGTGACCTCCTCACACTTTGTCTTCTTGTCTCTTCTGTGACTTCAGCTTTGATGTAGATGATCCTTCCACTCCTCAATTTTTCTGTAATTGACATCTTTATGATCCAATGATATGTACTTCCCACACATTCATGGTCATACTCATTATTACCAAAACGTGTTTCCAAAAACTGCCTATCGGTCATGGTCCAGTCAGGATATGAAACAGTAACAGTAATTTGAACAGGTAAAAATGTAACACTAAGAACTACTAAGCAGTAAAATGTGGTTAAGTACTAAAAGAGGTAAAAAACAGGACCCAAAAAAGTATAATAATAGCAAAGGCAGCTATTGGAAACTGGTTCCTGACAAGGTAGAGAGTAAACATTATTCTCTCCTACTCTCCAAGTGTTACTAAGGGAGGGGGGGGAAGCCTCAAAATTTATAAAACAACTGGCAGAAGACAGAATGGTAGAGGAAAGAAGGTTCATTGGTTAGGATTCATAATTCTTAAGTAATAACCCAACAGGGGTTCCCTGTTTTATTGTTTTGTCTAATTTTTTCCCTCCTATATATCCTAACTTGAACTCTAGAGAGGCTAAAACCAAAAAATACCTATGTGTACAGACAAGACAAATAAACAGCAACAACAAACAGCCCGTAGGGACATCTGTCCTCTCTAGCCAAAGCACTGGGGAAAGTGTAGTCTAGTATAGGGTGACCAGATTTTAACATCGGTAAGGCGGGACAACATGGGGGTGGGCAGGGGACGGGGCAGGGCAGGGCCTGACAACAATGCAAACTTTGATAAGCAGTTCTCGATAATCACTTCTCAGCAATTATTTGTTATTACAGTTTAGCATTATAAAATTAACAAAAATAATATAAAACTCATTCTGGCGAAATAGCCACATGGCAGCCGAAAACCGTATATTCCCTTCTTGTTCTCCCGCCCGTTCGTGCATTCTTTCCAAAAATTGGGACTTTTTAAAAATGCCGCAGGAGACAGGACAAATTGTTGAAAAGCAGGACTGTCTCACCAAAAGCGGGACGTCTGGTCACCCTAGTCTAGTAGGGTATAAATAATTTGACCATACCAGCCCCACTCTAGTAAGTGCTACCAAAAAGCCATTTGTCCCTCTTACATCTGAGGCTGTGGTCTGGAAACTAAGGGCAGAACCCTGTCTTCCTTCCCTGCCCTGAAATAAAAGCTAGGCAAATGACAACAGATATTTCACTGAAGAGTATATACGGACAACAAATAAGCGTATGAAAAGATGTTCAATTTAATTATCCAATAGGAAAATGCATTTAAAGCTAACACTACTCACCCATCAGAATGGCTAAATTAAAATATAGTGAGAACACTAAATCCCGGCAGACATATCACTCATACATCGCTGGCAGAAATGTGAAATGGTATAGTCATTCCAAATAAGTTTGGCAGTTTCTTGCAAAACTAAATATAGTCATTTGTCACTTAATGACAAGGATATATTCTGAAAAATGCATTGTTAGATGATCTTGTCATTTTGTAGACATCATAGAATGTACTTACACAAATATAGCTGGTATGGTCTACCACATACATAGGCCATATGGTATAGCCTGTTCAGTGTAGGCTGTTTGTACAGCATGTTACCGTGCTGAATTTTGTAGCCAGTTATAACTCATTGGTAAATATTTGTATATCTAAACATAGATAGGGTGGTGCCTGTGGCTCAGTGAGTAGGGTTCCAGCCCCATATCCCGAGAGTGGCAGGTTCAAACCTGGCCCTGGCCAAACTGCAACAAAAAAAATGCCGGGTATTGTGGTGGCACCTGTAGTCCCAGCTACTTGAGAGGCTGAGGCAAGAGAATTGCCTATGCCCAGGAGTTGGAGGTTGCTGTGAGCTGTAACATTACAGCACTCTACTGAGGGTGATAAAGTGAGACTCTGTCTCTAAAAATAAATAAATAAATAAAATGAACATAGATAAAGTACAGTAAAAACATGTTATGAAAGATAAAAAATGCTATACCTGTATAGGGCACTTTCCATGAATAAGCAACTTGGAAGACTAGAAATTGCTCTGGGTGAATGAATGAGTGAGTGCTGAGTGATTGTGAAGGCCCAGGACATTACTGTACCCTCCTGCAGACATTATAAATACTGTACAACTATACTGTGATAAATTTATAAATAATTTCTTCAACAAAAATTAACCTAGCTTACTGTAAAATTTTTACTTTATGAACCTTTTAATATTTTTTAATCTTTTAAAAAAATTATTGTTGAGGAGTCATTGAGGGTACAGAGAACTAGGATACACTGATTGCATTTGTTAGGTAAAGTCCCTCTTATATTTGTGCCCTGCCTCCAAGAGGTGTGTCACACACGGTGACCCCCCCCACTCTCCACCCTTCTTACCTCCCTCCATTCCCCTCTTCCCCCTACCATGTAGTAGGTCATTAATTGTCCTCATAGCAGAACTGAGTACATTAGATTCTTGCTGCTCCATTCTTGTGATGCTTTACTAAGAAGAATTTGTTTCAACTCCATGCAGGTTAATATGAAAGATGTAAAGTCTCTGTCTTTTTTAGTGGCTGAATAGTTCTTCCATGGTATACACATACCACATCTTGTTAATCCATTCCTGGGTTGGTGGGCATTTAAGTTGTTTCCACAGTTTGGCGACTATGAATTGAACTGCACTAAACAGTCTAGTGAAAATTTCCTTATGATAAAATGATTTTTTTCTTCAGGGTAGATGCTCAGTAATGGGATTAAGGATCAAATGGGAGATCTAGTTTGAGTTCTTAATTAAATTGAAAAGCTTTTATATAGCTAAGGAGACAACAACTAAAGCAAATAGACAACCATCAGAATGGAAAAAGATATTTGTATATTATGAATTGGACAAAAGCTTGATAACTAGGATCTATAGAGAACTCAAACTAATCAACATAAAAAAGCCAACGATTCCTTATATCAAAGAATAAGAGAGATGAAAAGACCTTTTGGTAAAGAAGATAGACGAATGAATGCCTAACAAACATGAAAAATGCTCATTATCCCTAATTATCAGAGAAATGCAAATCAAAACCACCCTAAGATATCACCTAACTCCAGTGAGAATGGCCCACATCACAGAGTCTCAAAGCTGCAAATGCTGGTGTGGATGTGGAGAGAAGAGAACACTTTTACACTGCTGGAACTTAATTTTTTAAAACATATTGACTCTAGTGCCAGGCTTGGTGGCTCATTACTATAATCCTAGCACTCTGGGAGGCCAAGGCAGGTAGACCACCTGAGCTTGGGAGTTTGAGACCAGGCTGAGCAAGAATGAGACCCTAACTCTACAAATAGAAAAACTAGCAGCCATTTACTTCCTTTTTAGAAGTAAAATATGGAATATGGTTTTTTACTTTAAATGTAAAGAAATATAAGAAATTGGCTCGACACCTGTAGCACAGTGGTTACAGCACCAGCCACGTATACCGAGGCTGGTGGGTTCAAACCTGGCCCAAGCCAGTTAAACAACAATGACAACTGCAACAAAAAATAGCTGGGCATTGTAGTGGGCACCTGTAGGCCCAGCTACTGGGAGGCTGAATCAAGAGAATTACTTAAACCCAGGAGTTTGAGGTTATTGTGAGCTGTGACACCAGGGTACTCTACCTGGGGCAACAGAGTGAGACTCTGTCTCAAAACACTATACCCCATG